AAATTTTTCTCAAGAGGTTGAAACCATGGTATCTCACACATAATGGATGGTCAATAAATACTTGCTGAGCTGAACTGCAATGGTATTTTGTAAACTGCAACATTTATTAAATTTCTGAAATTGACTTCTCTTGTAAGGTTTGAGAATTTCCTCTCCCATTAGCACAGGTCAGAGAGAAAAAAGCAATAAAATGTAACACCGCCATTAAATTAATTTCTTACAGGAAGATGTTATCTTCACTATGGCTCAAGGACTTGCAATATATTGTGTCAATTTATTACGTGATGCTTCAATTTAGTCCTTTCTTGTAGTATTTAAGAACAGCACTCAGTCTGAGAAAACTGTTACCACAATGGAGAACAACCTATTCATTCAACAGATGTCTATACAGAAAGTCCCTGGTCGGGAGGAAAAAGGAAAGGAGTTATAAAGCATAAGGGAACAACTTTCAAAGATGTATACTCTAGTTGGGTACATAAGACACAAATAACACCTTATCTTATTATTGTTATATAAGGTACCATGTGATACATGTTTTATAAATTATCGGGCTGTCGGAAAAGTCATGATGTATTTTTTCTGTTTTTCGTTGCAAAAATGCGTCATGACTTTTCCGACGACCCAATACATAGACTGCTCGTAGAAAACAGGTTTAGCTGTGATGCTCAGAGAGGACAACATGGAAGGACTTTGATACTTGAAACTAGAAAGATTTGGGCCCCAGTGGACTGATAGCCATTGGCATATATTAGTTTAGTGCTTTCGAAATTTGAGAGTGTACAAAATTCCCCTGGGAATCTATCTGCCAGCATAATGTGTTTTGATAACTATCCTGAAATCACCTTCTGGTATGAAGCACTTAGCAATACTGGGATATGTATGTTTGTGCGTAGTGTATCTTTTAAAATGCATGGGTAGGGTGGCAATAGGGAAAGGTTACACCTAAGAAGCCAAAAATGCTGGGATAAGTTACCGTTGAGGCCAGTGGCTCCCTGGTTGAGGGGCATCTTGATAATTCCTGATGCCCCAGAGTCTGAGCAAAGTGGGAATTCAGATCAGAGACCCTCAGAGGAAGCCTTAAAGATAAAAACCTCAGTGAAAACATAACTAGAAAAGCATGCCTTGTGAAAGGAGAGAGTAGGGCAACTTGTGTCCTGGACTTGCCTCTGGATAGAGAAGAAAAGAGTCATCGCTGCAAATTTAAAAGCACGAGCTAGTCATCTAGTAAGTTTAGGAATGAAATTCAAACTACCTAGGTGGCCCCCAAATCTACAAACTGCATTCTTCCAGCTGCAGAGTGGACCCTTTTGATGGCTCACCACTGAGTCCATCCAAAGGAATTGTCTTCAGCTAAAGGGAGGTGCTTCACCCAAGATGGAGACCCCTCCCCAGGGGCAGCCCACATGCAAGCATGCTGTGGCACTAAGGTCTGGACCTGTTGCCTTAATCTGATGTTACTGAAGAGACACCCCAGCTTTACTATTCCCCATGAAGTCTGTTGTAGCTGTGTGGTGGCTCATTTCTTTCTCTTTCTTTAACCTCCTTTTCATTTTCTTACAGGTGATTTTTATAGACAAGAGCACTCCCCAGTAAAGTGCTTCTGTGAAAACCTTCTTCTCGGTGTTCATTTGCTGGGGCACCTTGACCAGTGATATCACTTGTCCCTAGGTTCCTAGCAGAACAAAGGAAAATCCTTTCTAGAAACATCGAGCTTAAACCCAGGCCGCAAAAAATTCCCACAAATAAAGTTCCAGCAACTATGAGCTCACTATCAAAAATTATAAATCACATCAGTAATGAGCCACCATGAGCAAAAGTCAGTAGAAACAAAGAAGTGCTGAATAAGACCTCTAGAGCCAACTGATGTTGAAATAATCAGAGAGAGCAAAAGTTGGAAACATTTTCCTGTAAAGGGCCAGAGGGTAAATATTTCAGGCTTGCAGGCCATACAGTCTCTATTGCAACTACGGGCATACCACGTTTTATTGAGCCTCATTTTATTATGCTTCACAGATGTGTTTTTTACAAATTGAAAGCAAGGCTATCCACCAGCAAAAATATTATGACTTGCTTTATTGCTGTACTTGCTTTGTTATGGTAGCCTGGAGCTGAACCCACCATATCTCTGAGATATGCCTATGCTCAATTCTGCCACTGTAGGGTGAAAACAGCCAAGACAATATATGAAACAGATAAGTATGACTGTGTTTCAATAAAACATCATTTACAAAAATAGGGTGGAGGGCTGGATTTGGCCTGTGGCCCCTAGTTAGCCAACCCCTGAGAATATATTTAATATTCTAATGAGATGAAAGAGGGGATTCAAAAATATGACTAGCAAATAAGGGTCTATAAAGATGACCAAACTTAACTTCTAGAATAGAATCACATAGTAAATAAAAACTAGAAACTTCATGAGCAGGTTAAATAGCATATTTACCCTCATGCACATGTGCACTAGAAGGTGCAGCTAAAGAGGAACAAGCAAACCAGAAAGTATATCTAAGGAAATGACTATGTACAGAAAGAAATAGAAAATATGAAAGAGTGAAGCGACATGTAAAATAAAGTAAGATGGTCTCTTACGTTTCCAACCTGCACACATCATACTCAGCTCAAAGCTTTTTCCTTTGACATCAAGAGTAAGAGAAAGAAGCTTATGATCATTTCTATTCAACAGAATTAGTGCAATAAGAACAAAACACACCAGGCAGGGAAATTGGACAGAAGGTAAACGATTGCTGATTTTCATAGATGACATAAATAACCACAGAGACAACTTTGAAAATCTACAGTTACACAACTAGTGAGAGAATTCAGCATGGTAAATGAGTATATAATTAAAACTCAAAGTCATTGGAATTTCTATAAATTACCAATACATGTAAGATATTATGTAAAAATATGTCATACACAAAAATATAAGGTTCTGAGCAAGCTATATCACAACAGATATATAAGTTATTTATGGAGGAAATTACAAATTTTATTCAAAGAGATTAAAGAAGACCTAACTAAATAGAAACATCCTATGTGAATGTATCAGAAGACAACATTGTAAAGATGCCAGTCTCCCATATATTTGTTTATATATTTGGTGCATTTTAATAAAAATGTCCATCTTTTTGGTGTGGATTTGGGTAAGCTGAATCTAAACTATATTGGAAGAGCAAAGGATCAAGAATAGTGAAGTCACTTGTATGAATAAGTGAGTGACTTGTCCTAACGAATATCAAAACTTATTCTAAAGCTATGGTAATTAAGACAATAAGGAACTGGCATGAGAATAGACAAATAAATCAGAAGTAGGCCCTCACTGATAAACTTGATCAATGACAGAGAGAATATTGCGCAGATCAGCGGAGAAAGGATAGATGTTTTGATAAATAGAATTGGGATAACTGGTTATCCATATGAAGAGAAAATTAACCTGGGCCGGCCGGCCTGCCTCCCTCTCTCTCTCTCTCTCTCTCTCTCTCTCTCTCTCTCTCTCTCTCTCTCCCCACACACACA